AGGATGAAAGAGAGAGACCACCCGCAGAGGGTGAGAAGGGATTTTTTTTTAATATATTACTTATTATAATTATTAGTAATATTATTAATTTCACTTAAAAACGTGAAGAAAGTGTGACAACTTTGCCGAAACATGTTGTTTGAGCTTTCACGGTGTCCGTAGTTCCCCAGATGAGCGCGACGAACAAGCGTGTGCTTGCTACGCGCGTGCTTTCTCAGTGTTCATCACGAGCACGCGCGTATTTTGCCGCGTGGGCAGGGCGGAGCGGCAAGAAGACGAAGGGGGAACCGTATCTGATGGGGAAACGCGGATTGACATAACACCTGTGTGTGTTCTTATTACTAGTAACGTTGGCTATTTTTCAAGACGACATTAGCATGTTGTTGGTGTTTTTCTGGGAAATGTATTTTCTTTGATGTCTTTATGTGTAAACACTTCATTATTAATTTAACTGGTCATTTTTACCTGGACATGATAAAGTTAACGAAAATATTGAGCCTCTTGTTTAAACAGAGGACTGTAGAGTACCCAAAAAATGTTCTCAAGTAAGAGTAGCGTTACTTCGACATATTTTTACTGAAACACAAGTAAAAAGTAGTTGTCCAAAACGTCACTCAGATAACAGTAAAATATATTTGGTAGAATGTCTACTAAAGTACTGAGTAATAAAATCAGTTTCTTTCAATATAAAACTTTAATAAACAAACAAACTTTTTTTTTATCAAATATTCACCAGAAACGGACAGGAATTGTTATTGTAGTATAATAATAATAATAATAATAATAATAATAAAAATAATAATAAATGTATTCCTTTATTTGTACATTGCTATGAAAATATACAGTTTTGTTCATTGACCAGCAGGGGGCAGGATCACCTCAGTTTTATCTGGGGGGTGGGGAGGTCGCCGTACTGCTAATGTACCGCTAATGTACGCTAATTTTTACTCAGTCCATGCTGAGGACTGTGACTCCCCAGTGTTGAAGCACTGAGTAGTGACAGTGATTGTCCAAGTGTGCCGTTTGGAGATACCGAATGGAGACTCCGAATGGCACACTTGGACAACACCTGTACATCCTCATAAATAAATGTCCAAAATGACATTTATTTTTTGTGCTATTCATCATCATTCTTGAAATCCACGAGCAGAATACTTTATTCAGCAGATTTTGTTGAAGCAAAATTGTTCAATTTTTTGTGTGTTTCAAACATAATGGCTACAAACTACTTACAGTTAGAGTATTTTGACTGCAAAAATGGAAAATTTAGCTTGTCTTCTTCAAAAAGAGACCAAGCTTTTGCATGTACTCCAAATTGTTCAAGAACAGCAGCTGATTTAATTTGGGTATGTCTTTTCAGGGATTTTTGGTGATTTTGGTCCTGCCAGTTAAGGGGTTAAACACTTTTTTTTATTATTTTAAACTGAAAAAGTGAAATTAAAATAAAAACTATAAGTAAAAATTTTAAACTTCTTTTAAAATTTTGAAATTCTGTTATTTTTATCATTATACCATCAAATAATTACAAACAGAGAAACCGTACTGATCCAATTTCCATCTGAGGGCCTTTCTTTGCAGAAATCAATGATTTTCTTGACTTCAGCTGATTTGTTGATGGACCTCCGACGAAACGGAGTAAAACTCTTCTGACAGTGATGATTAAACCAAACCAGTTTTTGCCAGTTTTTAAATGATGCTCTTCACCTTTTTCAGTTTAAAGAGCTGCAAAGAAGTGAAACACACTTTATGTGAATACTCGCTAAAGAAACTACAGCTTGTTTTCTGTTTTAAAACCAGAGATCTGGTTGTTGTTCTGCACCCAGTCTTGGTATTTCTGCGTTAAGCAGCCAGTCAGAACCTCCTCCTGTCTCTGAGCAGCATCGCCTCCCTGAGCCTCGCTAATAGCGGCGCCTCGCTGGGTGATTGTTGTCATTTATTCCTGTCAGGTCAGATTGTGCTGGAGCCACAGCGAAGCCAAACGTGATGGATGCCACGTCACCAGTGCCACTGATTATAAATGCTCCTAACCTTCCAACACCAAGGAGGAAATGGGGGCGACTTGTGTGCAGAAATTCAGTTTAAGGGCAAGAAATGTGGTTTTAATAGCGCAGCGCTGAAGTCGTCAAAGATCCTTCACTCTAAAATAACGGCACAGGGTTTAAAGCCAAGTTATCAACTATTTTGAGTTTTTAAAGATCTGACTTCTTTGAGTTTTGGAAGGAGTTCTCGATTAGTTAATTTAGTTAAATATTCAAAGATTTTGCGTTAATTGACAGTTAAGTTGGGTTATTTTAATTTATCTTAAAGCTACAGTACGCAACTTTTATTAAAAAAAGTATTTGTTTACATATTTGTTGAAACTGTCACCATGTTACAGATAATCTGTGAAGAAAATTGGCTTCTTTGCCTTCTCCCAGTGCTAGTTAGAAACAACCAATCAGAGCCAGGAGGCGTGTCTTGGCGTGTCAATCACTCTTTTGCTTTCTTCTTTGGTACAGCTAGTTGGGAATGCTACAGCTAGTTAGCATAGCCACATTCAATGGCAGTTAAGCAGTTTTTCTGTAACGGTATGTTCCACATTTAGCAGCATGATGTTGATTGACAGCACTAAGACCCGCCTCCTGGCTCTGATTGGCTGTTTTTGGTTGGGAGTGGTTCATTCAAGAGGTGGAGGAGACTGATCTTTTCACAGATTGTCAACATGGTGACAGTTTAACAAATATGGAAAAAAAAATTTTTTATAAAAGTTACATTACCGTAGTTTTAAAGATGTCTTGTTTCCTGGTAACCGTTGATTCTTTTATCTCTGTTTTTCTTCCACGTTCTCCTTCCCATGGTGTTTTCTGCTCTTTGTGTTGTTGAGGCGCTGTGGAGGCAGAGCAGGCCTTGATGAAGAAAGTCTTCACTGACTACAACCTGAAGGTCCGGCCGGCTCGCACCCCCGAAGAGAGGGTGGTGGTCCGCGTGGGGATGATCCTCTCCTCCTTCGTTGGGCTGGTGAGCAAATATTTTACCTTTTATTTCCTGTTACGTCCATTAGAAAACTTTCCTGTTGATGTACAGACTATGTGGCTACACCACTCTCCTCAGTCTTGGCCGCTTTTAGAAGCACTTGAGAAACAAATAGAAGAATAAAAACATACAAAATATAAATTTTACATTACAGGTCCCCTTTAAATTGAGAGTGTTGTGGCTTTTGGTAATTAAAGCTTCATAACATCGATGTAGACGTCAGGATACGGAACAGCTGAAGCCCCGGTTGCCTCCAGTGAAGGTCAGCCTGCTTCCTTAAAGGAACAGGACTCTTTTGGCTCTGAAGGGACGCTGTGTTGGAAACGAGACGCTTGTTTGTCCACAGGTGATCAGTTGTCAGTAATGGCACAAATGTGTTTCAGAGCCCCGCTCTGCTCTGATGTCGCTGCAGCTGCCTTGCTAACATTCCTGTTTGTGTTTTAAATAGCCAGTCAAGCTCAGAAAGTCAGAGACAGAAGAACGGAAATCATTTCATCTTCAGCTTACTCGTCCAAAAATATTTTTAAAACTATCAATATTATGATGTTTTGGACTATTATTGTGCTTGTCTGACAACAACAAGCATATTATGCTTTACAAGCAGAACCTTTTCGGCTGCATTCAAACAATTTATTTATTATTAACTCAGATTTTTGTTGGATCCGTTGCAGTTTTTTTACTTGTTGTTTTACATCTTTCTATGTTTATATAATGGATTAATTTAGTTCATGTGCACATAAGTGACTTTCTCCATTTATTTTCATATTGCAACCAAAAACTTTAATTTATTTTAGGGGGTTTTGGTGTGATTGACCAACATATATATGGAGAGTCGATCATGCCACATTCCAATAAATAAATTACTTTTTAAATAATTATTTAAATGTGTAAATACAGAAACCATTTATTCAAATATAGAATTAATTGTCTCTGTTAAATATATTGATTTCATTTTAAAAACTACATATTTCATGTAGCTGTGCCTACAACTTTCAAACTTATTGGGCGGGATTACGGGAGACTCTGACGCCTGATTGGCTGCTTCATACAACAACTCAAGTCATCTTTCTGCTTAGTTTGTTACGACTCTGATGTCAATATTTTTTTTTAGGAGCTGCCATAATTTCACCAAATGTTGAACTCAAAACAGAAGACATAGGCAAACAGTTTTCTGTTTTTTTATTGAAACACGTAGGTTTTTGTCTTAAAGGTGCAGTACGTAACTTTTATATAAAATCATATTTTTTGCATGTTTGTTAAAACTGTTGCCATGTTGTGACAGTAAAATATGAGACAAATAATCTGTGAAATTATCACTCTCCTCCATCTATTACTGTTTGAAAACACCAAACCAACCAATCAGAGCCAGGAGGCAGGTCTTAGCGCTGTCAATCATCCTCATGTACTCACTGCTACATCTGCTAATAGTGGAGAAACATTTGTAACATTTGTAGCTATGCTAACTAGCCTTAGCATTCAATGCGCTACACTAGCTGCAGCGTATTAAAGAGCGCACACAGCATTGTGATTGACAGCGCTAAGCCCCGCCTCTTTGCTCTGATTGTTTCTAGACATCACTGGAGACTCAATTCTTTTTCTTTTTTCTTTCACAGATTCTCTCTCATTCCAAACTGTCATGACAAAATGACATTAAAAAAATTTTGTTATAAAAGTTTCATACTTGTCAGAGAATCTGAAATGTTTCAGATTATTAACACGCTGTTTCACATTTCCTTTCAGAATATGAAGAATGAGGAAATGAGCACCATTGTTGTCATGAACCTGGTAAGTTTAATGCAGTTCAGCTCTGTTTGTTGGTCCAGAACCACTCAGTAGTTTCTGGTTCTGATCACATTTTACGGTCGTTTCCATATTCAGAACAGAACAGTTGGAGTTCACTAGGCAGAATTAAAGCGTATGCAAATACTGTTATTTTCATGCAAATGCAAGGAAAATCACCCCTGAGGACTCGAATTAAAGTGGCGGAAAAACGAGAAGAGGGAGAAAAAGTGATGAAATGACAAAACGCTTCGCGTTTGTACTGAATGGGCAAAGTTTCTTCCTGCTGTTTTTTTGTTGTTGCTGTTTTTCTAAAAATCTACAAACTTTCTGTTCCTACAGGAATGGACGGATTATCGGCTCACCTGGAAACCCAAGCAGCACGATGGGATTGAGGTGCTGCGCGTCCCGTCTGGGAAGGTGTGGCTTCCTGACATCGTTCTCATCAATAAGTAAGTAAATCAACTTTTTATTTGTACTTTGATGTAAATAGAGGGATATGATGATCTTTACAACTTTTTCTTTTCAAATCTCTTCTGACATGATAAATTAATTTATTATAACTTTTACATCAGAGGAATGAAATGAGCTCAAAGTTGCCAAACGTTGCCTAGCAGCAGTGATGTCCCAACAGGAACACCAAATATGGGCATTAATGAAGAACCAAAAGGACAATCCCAAAAAAAAAAAAGATAAAAAGTATCCAGCTCAAATCTTGAGTTTATAAGGTGAAGATGGAAAAGGCGATATGTCCAAGTAGAAGGAGAAAATCAGGTGAAATGTCAAGGAGCAGCAGTTTGGAGACCTAGCAAACCAGCACCTTACCTGGAGATTTAAAGGCTTCCTGTAGAGAGACCATGACAAATGTGGACAAAACCGTTCATGTTCATGAAAATAAAAGGCTGTCAAATGGAATTGAATGATATTTAAAAATCCTCCAAAGGTGATAATACAGATTTCAGTAGGAACAGATGCTTATTTTCTTCTTCCTCTCTTTCTGATCTGTGACCTTTAGCCTTTTGGGAAATGTTACTAGTGTCCATTGTGAATCAAACCTTAAAATAAAATAAAATCAAGCAAATAAAGTAGCTCATTATTTTTGTTCATCCAAAACATGAAAGGGATTTCTACAGCAATGTATTAGGGTCATTGTGGAGAGACAAAAATGAATACATTTCCTCCAAAAATTCATCATTTTTGTGACTAATCTCAGAAATTCGACATTTGAAATTCTGATTTAAATTCTTTTTCTTTTTTTCTGACGTTAATCTAAAAATTTGATTTTTTTCTAGCAAATGTAATTTTTCCCAGAAGTTTTCTGAGATATATATATATATATAATATTTATTTATTTATTTTTTCCCACAGCGGCCCAAATTCACTGTAGTAGATTTTGCATATTTGCAGTATTAAAATGAAGACCTCTAGTTTCTTTTGGGCTCGATTTTCAGTAATAAGAACAGGATTTGGATCAAATTCTTTCAAAACGCTCACTGTGCTTAGCCAAGTTTAGGAAGAATAAAAGTTGGTTTGGTGCAACAGAGTTGGCTTTTTGGTGAAAATCTCTGGATAAACTTGGTTACAAAAACAAATAAATTTTGTTGTACTTTACATCTTCCTGTGTAAGAAAACTGTGTTGGTAACATATTCTTTAACCTGATTACAAATTAAAAGCTTCCATCTACATCTAAAGGCCAAATTTGTAGCAATTTTGAATTGCAGTTGGGGGCCACACAAAATCAGCCCAAGGGCCACAATGGCCCGTGGGCCTCACTTTGAACACCAGTGCATTACAGCATTCATTCAGTGATTAAAACTGCATGGCAATGCAGCAAATTAGAGACTCAAAGAGCAGAAAGAGGAGCCTTTATGTTCCCCGTATCCCCACACATGTGCATGCCCCCATTAACACCACTGTAACTGTCCCCACTGCTCTATTTATCAACACTTTATAGGCAATTAAGCCGCACGGCTCTCTAATAACTGGGCTGTTGGTGCCGTTCAGCAACTTCAGCACACGAGACCTTCATTTGGAACATCAACACACAAATATCTGCATCAACATAAGCCTCTGTGAGCTTCCCAATATGGCTGATCAATACTGCTCTTTTCAACAGCGCCGTCACAGATAGTAGGGTTTTATTTGGGCTAACACAAAGTCTGCTCAATTACCTGCATCATAAAAGCCTAAAACTGTGTACTGTGAGAAGGTTAAATCAGTCTCTAATTAACTTGATGTCTCTGTTTATCTGCCAGGGAAGCTTTGTGTACATGATCCAACGTTGGCCGGCCTAACTGCTTAGCTAATGTTTGGTCTTTACTGCTTATGCCACATAAAATGTTGTGAGTTTGGGTCAGAATGAGGCTACAGCCAACAGGAAACTCAGAAAGAAGTTTGTAAAAAGAAAGTGAAATCTTCTCTAACCATGTTGGTGAAGCTACATTTTATGGAGGGATATCTACATATACATGATGTATAAATTGGTGAAAACAAAGAACTAATGTGGCTATTTATTTAATAATCCATTTTTTTATTATCTTGTTTTTACATTTCAGTAGAGTAGCTGAATCAGAAAAATATTTATTGTGTGAGTCAAGGTTATAGCTACACAAAGTCAAGCTAACTAGTATTCAGATCCAAGCTAATTGCTCAGTAAAGTCAAAGCTAATCAAAATTACTGAGAGTTGAACAAACACTGAAAAAGAGTGAGAATAAAACATACTCAGTTCATTTTTTATAGCTGCTCTGATAAAAATTAAACACTTAACCAGAATTAAGCTAACCACTGTTCAGACTGAAGCTAACAGCGTCCCAGAGAGAAGCTAATATCTAATTTAAGAAATGATAACAGCTAATCAAAATTAATCTAACAGCTACATGAAGTTAAGTTAAAAGCAACAAAAAGTCATGCCAGTCACGGAAAGGAGTAACAGAAACTAAGCTAACAGCTAGCCAGAGCTAAGCTAACTAGTGCTCAGAGTGAAGCAAACAGTATTGTGTAATAAAGCTAACAGCTAATTAAAGAAATACTAACAGTCAAAGTTAATCTAAAAGCAACAAACAGTCATGCTAGTCACGAAAAAGGGTAACAGGGACTAAGCTAACAGCTAGCCAGTGTGCAGACTGATGCTAACAGCTAATTAAATAAATGCTAACAGCTAATCAAAGGTAATCTTACATCCACATAAAGTTAAGCTAAAAGCAACAATCAGTCATACTCGTCATTAGTAACAGGAACTAAGCTAACAGCTAGCCAGAGCTAAGCTAACCACTTTCCTGAACCTTCAAAGTTGGTTCACAATTGCAAATCACTTAGACTAAAAGCATCAAATAAAGGTAAACAAAAGCTGTAAAAGCGGTAAATGTTTTCTTCGTGTTCTGTTTGTAGTAACGACGGCGTGTTCGACGTTGCCCTTCAGGTCCACGTTCAGGTTTACAGTAACGGCAGGGTAACATGGACGCCTCCCGCTCTATACTGCAGCTCCTGTGGAGTCAAGGTGGGCAGACATTTTCTCCTCTTCCTGTTATTTTCCCTTACACACCTGTGCTTGTTTGTTTTTTTCTCCAGGTTACATATTTCCCGTTTGACTGGCAGAACTGCACCATGCAGTTTCGCTCTTACACGTACGATTCGACTGAGGTTGACCTGCAGTACGCGAGAGACTCGAAAGGCAAGGAGATCAAGGAGATCCAGTTGGATGGAGGCTTTAGTGGTGAGCTTCAAAATGTCCCTCCTTGTTATAAGTGAATTAACCTGTCAATAGAACTAGTATTTCTTCATCAGTATTAATGAATTATTGACTTAAAACCAGCTCTTGGTGGAAAGGTACTTATTTCAACTGTAGTAGGAACTAGATCAAAATTACTTGGTAATATTTTGTATTTTTGCAGTGTATTGGAGATTATCAAGGTGTCTGTGAATTAAAATGTTCCTGTTTTAATGTTTCTTGAGAGAGCAGCGAGTGGTACATCAGACACAAGCCAAGCAGGAAGATCACGAACGACGACACGTACGAGGAAATGACTTTCTACCTGATCATAGAGAGAAAACCTCTCTACTACATCATCAACATCATCATTCCCTGCATCCTCATCACAATCATCGCCATTTTCAACTTCTACCTGCCTCCAGATGCAGGTAAACACTTTTCACTCTCGCATACTTTGGAATATTGAAAAATTCATGGTCAACTCAACGACTACAAGAAAGTCCAGTGTCGGCACATTGTTATTTCACCGAACATGACCCAACATCTCTACATAAGGAGTTTTCACACCTAGTAGTCCAGTAGATTTGGTTCGATTGGGGACCAAAATTGCAACAAACATTGGGTTTAAGTGATGCTAACTCCCACCTGCAGCATAACTTAATGTCAAGATGCACACCTTTTCCACACCTTGCAATACAGGTAGTTTTGAAAAAATATTTAATAAATTCAAGAAATGTTTCCCCTACTATGAACCAAAACAACTTGGGTATAAAGTGAACTCTAACAGTTTCATGGTGTTTTGACACCTGATACTCCATTAGTTCGATTACGGAACAAAGATGTAATATTTGTCACATTTTCTGCTGCTGAGGTTTGTTTTCTCACCGCTTTGTGTCAAATGAACCAAACTAATTGAAGAACCTGTTCCCCTCCTCACCTGTGGTGGCGCTGCACAAAAAACAACTAAAGAAAATAGTGTGAAAACCTCTGAAGAAGACACTGAGGGCAACTTCCTTCTTCATGAAATGCAAATTAAAATAAAGTACCGTCAGATTTTAGCTATTGTAGGATTTCTCTTTTGTGTTTGTTAAAACACTGTACGCCATTTCTCCCACGAAGAGCCCTAGGCTAGCATGTTTGTTTTGGCTGTATTTACCCAGAATACCCTGTGTTGTAGTCCACTTCCTGCTTTTGGAGCAGACGCCAGTCCACTTGGTGTTCACATATGTGTTGGATCCGCACCAAAGTTCACTTTAACCAAACAGAGACCAAGGTTTGTAGATGGACCAGAGTTGGATTCACCAGACTTTCTAGATAAACAAACTGGAGTTTGAATAAAGCGGACCAATCAAAGCAAGTGAACACTAATTCAGAAAGACAGACTTCAAATTGGTTGGTTATGACTCCTACCAAACTGATGAAACAACTGAAGCTCCTGCTTTTATAGACCTACTAATGATCATCGTGAATCAAACACCAACTTAATTTTTCACACACAGCTTTTCTTTTACTGACTCCGGGATTGATCCAACTGATGCTCAACCGTTTCCCTCTCTACCAGGAGAGAAGATGGGTCTGTCCATCAATGTGCTGCTGACCCTGACTGTGTTCCTGCTGCTGCTGGCCGATAAGATCCCAGAGACCTCGCTGGGCGTCCCCATCATCGTCAACTACATCATGTTCACCATGATCTTGGTCACCTGCTCCGTCATCCTGAGCGTGGTCGTCCTCAACCTGCACCACCGCTCGCCCAACACCCACATGATGCCCATGTGGGTGCGCAAGGTCAGCTTCGCAGACGCAAAAGCATAAAACCAAACTGGGGATTTAGAAACTGTCACAATCTGGACACAAACAGCTGACAGTCTGGTAGACTCGGTTCGATCGGGGATTAAAATTGCAAAAAATTTTTTACATT